GACTGCAGCACTTGCAGTACCTCAGCCCTGGGCAGTGACCTGAGGGGTCCCAGGGAGGATGGTGGGAACTGGTAAGTATTGTCAGGGGAAGGACTTGGCTTTGGGTTGTAGATATGGGGGACTCCCCAGAGTGTGGCCTCTGCAAGGGACACATGGGGCCTTGGTCATCCCACAATCCTGGGAACACAATCCCCTCACTCCAGCTATGGCCCAGTGAGGAGCAGGGAGGGGGCATCCTGGGATGTTGGATCCATGGCCCTTCCTTTGAGTACTCTGGGGCAAGGCCAGGGGCCTGGGGCATCAAGGAGCCTGTCCTCCTGCTCTGCTTCAGGGATAGGGCCTGAAGAGGCCCAGAGTGATGCCTGGTGTTTTGAGATGGGTGTACTGAGTGGAAGTGGGTGCTGATAAGGGGGTTAAAGGGCAGGCAGTGCAGGGAGAGGAAGGGCCCATATGTGTGCCAGGGCCTGGATGGAGAGAAGGCTGAATACTTCCTGTGGGGGCCCCACAGAGCAGGAAGGACTTCTACGGAGAGGGTAGCCCTCTGCTCCAGGGGGAGGTGGGCCTGGCTGACAGTGACCCCAGCACAGGAGGGTTAGATAGAGGGATGGGCCAGGGCATCCCCACTGAGGCTGAGGCCTGGACTAAGGGAGGCTGGAAGCCCCAGCAGTCCCACCTTGGTGAGGCTGCAGATGCAACTCATACCCCAGGTATCTGTAGGCCAGCACCAGCCCTCCTGATTCTCAACAGGCTGGGTCAGATGGTCTCTGGTTTCTGGCTGGCCCCCAATGTAAGCTGGAGACTTGGACCACTCTTGGTGCTGGGACACTTTTTGTAAAGATAAGGACCTTGGCCCCTGTCTCAGGTTCCCCCAGGCAATGGTTCCCGGGGCCTGGGCTCCTCTATCCTTGTGGAGGAGGGACTGCAATGGCCTGAAGTCCCCTCTTCCAAGTTCCCCAGGGACGTTCCGGCTGTGGTTCAGTGGACTTCCCAGAGAGCAGCAGGGCGGGGGTGAGCTGGCACGCTCAAGTGCCCCACCACTCCCAGGGTCTGGAGGGAGGAGGCTCCTGGCCTCTTTGTGAGTGGGAGATCAGAGCAGGATTCCTGGAGAGGTACCAGACTGAGACTATGGGAATGTGTCCCCAACCTTCTTTCTAGAAGAGGGGCAGGGTCAAAGTACGGGAGGACAATCCTTTCATGCTAGTTTGCATCCGTCTGTATTTTAGAAGTGACTCGTTCCTTCCCTGGCTCCAGCTGATGTGGGGCTTTGGCGGGTGCCTGCGAGTTGCCACTAGGGACCTGGTAAGCCTTCCTGCAGAGGAGAGCCCCTTGCAGATCTGGGACTGTGGGCTGCTTGGCCTGGGGTGTGGACCTGCTGGAGCAGCCTGGTTCCCAGAAGGTCCCCATGTCTCCGCTGGACCCTCGGCCACTTTGAGTTCTGCCCAGAGGCGGGTGTGGACCAGATGATCTTTCTAGGCGGGTCGGTCTGGATGCGAGGTCTCCAGGGTACAAGTCTCTGCCTCGGGGCGGGACTCGCAGGGCGGGGTCCTAAGAGGCGGGGCCCCAGGGTCCCTGAAAAGCTTACACCCCAAGCGGGCGTCACCCAGTCTCGCGCCCACAGCCCGCTCTCGCCCAGCATTAGAAGCTCGTTCCGTACCCAGTATCGCCATGCCCAAGTGCCCCAAGTGTGACAAGGAGGTGTACTTCGGTGAGTGAATCCTGTACCCGGGCCTCCTCATGCGCGCACTGCCGGCCAGATGCGGAAGAGCAGTCGACCCTCCGGGGCGGGGGACGTACTGGCCATCCTGGCGACTTGGCGGGGGCCGCCCAGGTAGGCGCAGGGCCTCTGGAGTCCTGAGGGCCTCCTCGAAGACAACCTGTCGCCTGGCTCATGGTCGTCCGGGTGTGAGTTGGGACCCCCTGCGTTGGGCGGCCGGCTATCTCTTCCCATTCACGGTTTCTGTCTCCCTGCCTGTGTCTCCCCATCTGGTGACCCGTGTCTTCGTGACTCCTGGTATCGATGTTTCTACACTTTGCATCCACGCGCCTTGGGCGGGGGTCCCCGAGGGATAGGAAGGAACGCGGGGCTGGGGCCTCCCCTGCCAGCGCTAAGTAGAAACAGACGCGGAAACCGACGCCCCGGGCGCGATCCCGGAATGCTCAGATGCGAGCGCCCGCCTTCCGGCCCCGCGCGCGCCCCGGGGAGGGGCAGGAGGGAGTGGGAGGTCCTCCGCCCCAGTAGAAAGGCGCCCGCAGGCTCCACCCAGTCCCCCGGCGCCCGGGGTCAGAGGGCTACGCCAGGCCAGCCTGACCCCAGGCTTCCAGTCCGCCTACTCCACCCCAGCCCTCGGGGCGCGTCCCAGGCACAGCACCTGGAAGTGGCACGAGGGCCAGACTCCTCTGATTAGTTTGGCTGGGGACTAGAGGTGTGTCCCTAATATGTACAGGGGCAAGAAGAGACGGGGTGGGGGGTGCTGCCAAGTTGAGAGAACGCATTATGGGTGGACTGGAGGAGGGGTGTGAGTGGCGGTGTGCCAGGGCCTGAGAGTGGTGTCTCATGGGGACTTCCCTGCAGCGGAGCGGGTGACCTCGCTGGGCAAGGACTGGCATAGGCCCTGCCTTAAGTGTGAGAAATGCGGGAAGACGCTGACCTCCGGGGGCCACGCAGAGGTAGGTGGGCTGCGGGCCACTGGAAGGGGGAGTCATGCTGGGGCGAAGGCAGCTACTCACGGCCTTTTCTCTGCAGCATGAAGGCAAGCCCTACTGCAACCACCCCTGCTACTCCGCCATGTTTGGGCCCAAAGGTACATTCTGGTAGTCTGCCAACCGCCCCCCTCCCCCCTCCCCCCTCTCCCCTGCCTCCATACTGTGTTGACCTTCCACATCTTTTTGCAGGTTTTGGCCGTGGTGGAGCCGAAAGTCACACTTTCAAGTAAACCTAGGTATAACCCTCCCTCCAGTCCCACCCAGCCCATCCTTCTCAGGATTCGGATGTCCCCCCAGGTCTGATACTCAGGGGCCTGGAGGCAGGGCTGAGAGGTGTACTCAAGAATGTCTGTCTCTCTGCACAGGTTGAGGAGACCCTATCCTTGGCCACCCACCGGGCCATTGCCCATTCAGCAGATGCCTGGCCTTACCCCAGACACCCAGGGCTCCTAATAGCCCCTTGTGCCTTCAATAAACCTGAACATGTGGAAGACATCTGTGTGTGTGTTCACTAGTACTTGGGCACACGTGTGTGCAGGTGGATAGTGCAAAGAAACGACATCTGGGTACTCCCAGCCCAGGGTGCTTGCTCTGCCTGCTGCAGAAGGCACTGTTGCCCACTCCCCTGAGGAGGTCTCTTTGCAGGGCATGAGTCCAGGTCTCCACCTCTTACCTCCAGACCCACAAAGGCCCTCCTCTTCAGTTCTGGAAATGGGCTGGGCCAAAGGGTCAGAGGGAATTTGAGGCCTGGGAGTGGGTGGTGTTGGGAGGACTCTGGCCACGGGTCAGAGAGTGATTCAGCTGGAGCTGCTTCCCTTTTTGAGAAACTTTGGGGGAGCTGTGCTGTGGACTCCTTGCCTTCCCACTTCCTGCTGCTCCACCCTTGTCCCCATCTACCCCAGATCAAGCTGTGGGTTTTTTTGCAGGGGCTTGCTGTAGCTGCACAGCTAGCCATCCAGACACCAGACCCATGTTTGGGCCCCTCCCTGAGCAAGGACTCCCCATAGTGGCCTGTGCTGTCATGGTATGTCCTGGTTTTGCACAGTGGAGGGGGCCCGTTAGGAAACTCCTTTGTCAACCTAGCCCCTGCCCACTGGGCTACCATCAGAACCCCACTGTCCCCTGGCAGCTCAGTCCCAGCCCTGGCCAAAGGTCTCCCAAACCCCTTTAGACCATCTGCAGATGTGAAGAGCCCAGGTCAGCCTAGTGAACTGTAGGCATAAGCTGGCAAAGAAGGGGTGGGGAGCTGTCGAGGGTGGTCTGTAGAGCGGAAAGCTTGCGTCATAGGGCATCCTGGAGGGCCGCAGAGGGGGTGGGGCAGCCAGGCGGGAGCCCAGGATGCTGAGCTCCAGAGGCTCCCTATCCAGGTGGGGGGTGAAGGCTGAGGGCTGAGGGCTGTGGCCCAGCGATACCTGGCGGCCAGGGTAGGGTCAGCAGCTCCCCAACCCGAGGTCCTAGCCTCCTCGAAGGTGCGCTGTCGCCGGGACTCCTTTCCCCACATAGCTCACAGCCCCATTTGGGGCGACTTGGGGTGCACTGTCAGCGAGCAGAAAGAGAGTGGGAATCAGCTAAGCCCCAAATGGGGTTAAGAGCACCCCAGGCAGAAGGTCAGCAGTGCAAAGTCCCTGAGAAGAAAAGATCCGTTGTCGTCCATCAGAAATCAAACCGCGGGCTGGGGATGTGGCTCAGCGGTGGCGCGCCATGCCTGGCATGCGTGCGGCCCGGTTCGATCCTCAGCACCACATACCAACAAAGATGTTGTGTCCGTCGAGAACTAAAAAATAAATATTAAAAAATTCTCTCTCTCTCTCCCCCCCCCTCTCTCACTCTCTAAAAAAAAAAAAAAAAATTTCTCCCCCCCCCCCCCAAAAAAAAAAAAAAAAAAAAAAAAAAAAAAATCAAGCCGCGCAGGTTGGGGCTGGGGGAACAGTCTTCGCACCCAAAGCTCAGGGGGCGCTGAGAAAGGGATGGAGGGCAGGATTGCCTGGGACCTGGAGCCGAGAACAAGCCAGCAGCGTACCCCATACTGGGAGAGGAAATCCCGGCCAGGGACCTCAGAGCCGAGTTTGTTGGCCTCTACTACTGGCACAACGTTGCCACCGCCGTTCAGTTGAGGCCAAGGAAGCAGGACATTCTGAGCCGGCGCGCCGCGCTCCCGTTTCCAGTGGACGTGGCCAAGCGGACAGGTGCGTGGGGTGCTTAGTACTTCCCTCTCTAGCTGGGTCTCCTCCGCCTTCTCTCGGGCGCCCTCCCCCTCTCCACCTGCCTTCTTTCCGGCTTTATTGTGTAGTGTGCGCACGGTCCAGTCCACCGCCCCAGCCGCACCTTCAGTGACGTGGAGCGCACGGAGTTCGTGCCAGAGTGTTCCAGCCACTGCTGATTTCCTCCTGCCATTCTCCCCCTGCCCGCTGGCCAGCCCTTTCCGGGCAGCCAGGGCCCTGCGAGTTTACCTCCTCCTGGCACTCCACACGGTCCGGCCTACCTGATGCGGGCTTTTGCGGGGGCTTCCTGCATTCAGAAGAACGCGAGGATTTCACCCAGGGTGCCCGCGGCTGCCCGCGGCTGGACAGGATTCCTAATTATGCGCGTGCTGCGGTTCTTTCCCACACACCAGGGTGAACTCTGGGCCCGTTTGCCATGTGATAGGGCTGTTGTGACCTCCCGCGTGTCCTTGCGAAGATGGCCCACAGCCTACCAGGACTGGTACTGTTGGGTCGTGTGGGAAACTTCCGCTTCTGAAGGAAATGGCCACACTGCTTCCCAAAGAAGGTGGGGACAGTGAGGCCTATGTTTGGGCAGGATAGCTAAGGGCAGAGAGCTGGGGCTAGGGACGGGCGAGGGGCCGGAGTCTTCAGATAAAAGAGTTGACGGCCTTCCCTTCTGGAGCTTCCTTTGCCCAGCTAGTCGGGCGAGGTTACTCACGGAGTCCCCACCCAGCTGCCCCGGGTTATCTGCCGGGTTGTCTGCCCGGGCGGCGGCTTATGAGGCTCTGGCGCCCCCTGGCGTCGAGCCGGGGAGGCTCCGCGGAGGGGCGCCGGCCGCGGCCGAAGGAGTCTGGTTGCACAGTCCTCCGGGGCTCTAGGGGGCGCGCAAGTTTTTCATTCAGTGCTGATGACGCCGGGTTGCTAGGTAGTCAATGGCTCGGGGCGCTGATTGGTTGGTTCTGGACGAGGCGGGTGTAGGGCGAAGGTTGGGCGAGCGAGTTCAGAAGCCTCGGTGCTGCTGACCTCGAAGGCTCCACCCCAGGAGCGCGGAAGTGCCTTCGCGCCTGACGAATAGACGCAGGGCCAGCGCTCATTGGGTTACGGCGCAAAAGCGGGTCCTGGCCGGCGCTGTGATTGGGCGCCATCTGCCGGGGCGGGCGATCCAAGGAGGCCTGGAGCAGGCTGCATGGGGAGGCGGCGGCGCAGGGTGGACCGGGCGGCCGGAGTCGGGACCGGGACCCTGCCCGAGGCGATTGCCGCGCTCAGTAGACTGCTGCCCGCTGGGCCCAGCCCGGAGATCTTCCGCCGTGCCAAGTTCGACCGTCCGGAGGCGGTGAGGCCGGCGGTGCGGGCGTCGGGCCAGGAGTTGCCGGATGCAAGGTCAGCCTGGCCCGCTGACCGCGCGCTTTTTGTTCTCTGTAGGCCCCCGCGCTGTGGCGGCTCCTCTTCCACGTACTCGCGCCGCTCCCAGAACGTGGTGCCTCGGCCTCGCTCACCCCGGGTAAGTCCTGTCCTCTGGAATGCCCCGCCCCAAAGGTCTCGACTCAGCCCGCCCTGGCGACACTAGCCTGGCGCTGACCCCGCCCACCCGGTGGCACTGGCTCCGCCCAGCTTGGTAAGGGTCCGCCCCAGAGGCTTTGGCTTTGTCCAACTCTAAGGCTTCCACCTCCAAAGGCTCTGGGACCACGCACCCAGAGAGGCACTGGCCCTGCTCAATTCTAAGGCTCCACCCCTGGAGGCTCTGGCCCCTCCCACTCAACCGAAGTTCTGGTTCTGGTTAGACCCTGGTTCAACCAACACCTAATCCCTTCCTTCCAGGTTAGGGTATGGTGCCCTTATCTTAGTTGGAGGACCCAACCCCTACCCCGCGTTGAGTCCTGGTCCTTGTTCCTGTCTCCTCTATTTGGGGGTCCTGAAGGGGTACAGATGATATCCACTTTAGGTAGGCTTCTCCCTGAGCTGGTGGTCTTTTACTCCAGAGGCCCAAGCCCGCCTGGTGAAGGCAGTGCTGTGCTCCCAGGGCTACCCGAGGCCTGTGCTGGCACAGCTTCCGGAGGATGGCTCCCAGGGCAGCCGGGAGCTGCTGCTGGCCCTGTCCTGGCTCCTGGCCCGAGAGCCTCTGATTGAGCGGCTACTGGTGCAGACTCGCATCCAACTGGGCGACCAGGTGCCTGATTTTGAGGTGGGTGTGTAATAAGGGTGATTGAGCCCAGCTCTGCCCAGATGCCAGGGTGTCTCATGTCCCATGACCTGTGGGCCATCCCATGTCAGACTTGAGGGCAGCCCTTGCTGGGGCTATCCTGGCTGTCTAGCTGAGAGTGTGCAGGCAGCTAGGTCTGTGGCTGTACCTCCACTGCTCTTACTGTCCTTGCCCCTTCTTCAGGTAGGGTGGAAAGTGAAATAGGGGCTAACCCTTATTACCTCTCCAGAGTGGGGCCCTGGCCAGCTCTGGCCCACCTGTATTACACATGGGAGCAGAAGTCCCTGTGGACCTCCGCTGTGTGCAGTGGCTGATGGGAAAGCTGCGGTTCCGGTGGCGGCACCTGATCTCCAGTCAGCAGGAGCAGTGCACCCTCCTGGGCAAGGTAGTGTTTCACACAGCTCTCCACCAGGGACCAGAGACCCTGGCTACCTTTCCCTATGGCCCATCCCACCAAGCCTGGCTGCTTGTGGGCCTTCCCTGACCTGGCTGGGGCTGGTGGGGGTTGGGACTGTGATCCAGGTAGGGGACCAGATTTCGATGGAACTGGGCAGTATTGGGAGCCACGGTCAGGGTTCTCAATCCTGCTGGGAGAGAGTCTGCTGGATCAGAGAGCCACGGAGTCAGCTTTACTGTTGCCAGAAATTGTTTAGACTCTGCCAAGAGAAACTATTCCTCCTGGGCACTTCCAGCCCTCTATCCCACCATGTTCTGGATGTGGGCTGATCTGGGCAGTGGGCAGCTCCTGTAGGGGCCTTTGAAGGAGTCGTAGAGATTAGGTTCAAGCGCTCTGGTGCCCAGCACATGACCATTGTGAAGTGAGGGCTGATGGGTTGCTGGGTGGTAGCCATGGGCTCCGTGGTGCTGAGACCCCTTCTGTGGTCTTCTTAGCTGGTCTTTCCTGGGACCTGCTCCTGTTGCCTGGCCTTGGCTCCAGCAGCTGCACCAGATTAGGGGCCCACCTTTCTGTGGCAGGTTTGTACCTTCCAGAGCCTAGGGCTTGATAGCAGGGCAGGGGGCACCATCCCACTGTATTGGACCCCTGGGGAGGCCCTGAGTAAGATTGCCTGGTGTCCCTCCCTCTGTAAGGGAGCCGTCTTGCATGGGAGTTGAACTCTGAAGGTGACCATGTTGCTCCAGTGGAGGCCCCGTGCTGGAGAGGGTGCACCTCCACAGCCTGGGGTCTGCCTTCTGTTCCAGATCCACTTGTATACCTACGGCTGCCACAGTGACCAGAACCTCGGCCATCTGTCTGTCACGGAAACTGAGATGCTCAGGGACCCGGAGGGTGGCCAGCAGGTGAGGGCTGTCTGCTGGGGTGGGTGTTGCCTGAGGTTCGGCGGGGCCTGTTTGGGATGACCTGGGCTATGCCAGGCTTTGAGCTGTACATGTCTCTGGGTTGTTGCCGAGCTCACTGTCATTGCTGGTGTGGTTGACAGGGGAGTCTTCAGGACTCTGTCTGTCCCATGAACTGTTCATCTTTCCCAGAATCCTAATAGGTTGCTGTGTGTGCACCTCTGACCAGATATGAGCAGGATCCCAGAAGTGCATGGGTCCAGGCTGGGCTAGTTGAGGAAGAAGACCACAGGAATTAAGGATTGCTGGCCTCAGGTCTGCGTTGAACCTGGAGCCCACAAAACAATTGTCACCTGGTATTGAGGGGAGTCCTGGAGGAGGGACTGTCCATAGGATTGGCTGAGAGGGCACAGCTGCCCTTCAGAGCAGGGGCCTGTTGGGAAGGCTCTGCCCTGGAGACATGGTAGGCCTCAGTCCTGCTTCCTGGTCAGAGGCCACTCAGTGTTTGCGGGACAGCGCTGCCCAGGTGATGTACTACCTTGGGGTCTCAGCCCAGTGGAGCACAGACCTAGAGAAAAGCCAAACTCTGAACCTGGGTGGCCATATACCCTCAGGCAGAGGGTCATTTGCTAAGGCTGCTGGGGCACTAAGGAGAGGAGGGCCAGGGCTGGTTCCCAACACCATCCAGTTTCTCCCGTTTCTGCTGTCCCCTCTGCCCTCATCCATGCTGACTTGTCCCCATCCCTTCCCCAGGGGCTTTTTGCCGCTCCCTTCTTCTTCTTGGCAGAAACCATAGGGAGTGGCTAGGAGCATGTGCCTGGCCCTGCTGCCTGCTGGCCCTCTGGGCCAGAGTGCCCTGTGTGCCATGCCCAGCAGTGGCTTGTTCTGCTCGAGGCCGGCTGTCACCTTCGCACTGAACTCGGGACTGACTCGAGTGGGGCACTGCTGGCAGGAGGGCCGAAGCTCCAGCCAGTAGCTCCTCCTCTGGCTCTTCTGCCTCATCCCAGTTCTGCCTACAACCTGGCAGGTGGGACAGGGGGTCCAGGGTTCAGAGGCGGATGGCTCCTGGTCCCCACTGTCTGCTCTGCTGGGGCTTCTGCCCTGGGACATCTGGCCGTCAGATGCAGCTTTGGCGCTTTATGCTCCAGGTGATTTATATGCACCCATTGTGACTGAGTGTGCCCACCTGGTGAGGCCTGCCTGGCCTTGGTGCCAGCTTGGCCTGGCTCCCTGGATGAGGCCTGGGCTAGCCTCAGAAGGGCTTGTGCTTGGCTTTGGAGGTGCTGAGACAGCATTTGGATGTCCCCACCTGCCCTTGACTCTGTCCCCCTTTCAGAGGTGACTCAGCAAGGCCCAGGCTTTCAGCCCCTGGTCCCTGGTTTAGAGCAGGACAGGGGCTGTCCAGGCTCCATCTGGGCCTGCCTGAGCCCCTCAATGTGGGGTGGGGACCTAGAGGGGGAGGCAGGGTGTGTTGGTGCTGCAGGATTTCAAACAGCAGTGGTTAGGTGAAGTGGCATCACGCTTGGCCTCCTTCCAAGTTTCTGGACAGAGCTGGCTAAAGTCTGGATCTGGCCTACCTGAGAACTTGCACTGCTGGGACAGGTCCTAGAAGCTTCTGGAATGACCTATGGCTGGTGTGAGCAGCTGGCATGCTGCTGGGTGACTGGGCAGTTCTCTTGGTCACTGGTGGAGCCTGCAACCTTCCGTTTGTCCCCTGTGCCCTTAATCCTGCTGGGGGTGCCAGAAGACATCAGAGTGCAGCCCCAGAGAAGAGGAAGGGGAGGTGTTCTATGCCCGACCCCAGTCTAGGGGTGCTGGGCATCCTGGGGACTCTTGGAAGCTGTGTTAACTGCTCTTTTGCTGGTGTGTCTCGGTGCCTGAGTGAGAGTGGGGAGGCCTGTGGACATACTCTGCACTCCCCTTGCCCTGGTCTGGCTCCCTGCATCTCTCATGAGTCTCCCAACACTGTCCCTGGCATGGGTGTGCTTTGAGGGGAAGGGTGGCTAGGCCTGGTCATGTGTTGGGCTACCCTGCCCTGCAGAAAGGTGGCAGAAACCATAGGAGTGGCTCGGGAGCATGTACCTGGCCCTGCTGCCTGCTGGTCCTCTGGGCCAAGGGGCCCTGTGTGCCCTGCCCAGCTGTGGCTTGTTCTGCAGCTGCTGTGGGCACTGGAATGTGAGAACACCCGTCTAAAGGCAGCTCTGGAGTGGCGGCGCTGGGAACTGGTATTCTGGCGGTGGATGGTGAGCTAAGCTGCCCCCTCCCCTCCCCTATTCTTCCTGGCCCAGGTGGTGGGTTTGGGCAGGGTGGGTGGGGGGCGCACCTCCCAGACAGGAGGAAGAGGCTCTAAGGGAGCCCACACCCCAGATCCGGCACCCAAAGTCCAGGGCTTTGCCCATGACCTTTGCCTGTCTTCTGGGGAGGCCCAACATTGCTGGCCATGACCTCTAGCACCCACAAGTGTCTTCTTTTTTATCCTTTTCTTTTTGGTGCTGGGGATTGAACCCAGGGGTGCTTAATCAGTGAGCCACATCCCCAGCCCTTGTTTTTTTTATTTTGAGCAGGGCCTTGGTAATTTGCTTAGGCTGGTGTTGAACTTGTGATCTTCCTGCTCCAGCCTCCCAAGTTGCTGGGATTACAGGCCTGAAGTATTGAGTTTTGTGCCTTCCTGGATGCTACCTTGCTGGGGTGTCAGTAGCTGTCCAGACCTCTGTGGGACCTGGGAGGGCCACCACTGCCTCCTGGGGCCTCTGTCTCCCCTAATGGAAGCCATGCCTGGCTCATGCCCACTTATCTCCCTGCAGGACACAGTTCTGGGCATCTGCCCTCCAGAGGGCCCTGCTGCAGCCTCACAACCCACGATCCTGCCCAGGATTCCTGAGCAAGGGCTTGGCGAGCTGGAGCAGGTAGCACAGGAACTGCAGGCCCTGCATGAGGAGCTGTTGGAGGCAGGCGCCGCCCGGCGGGTGGCCTGGGAGGCCCAGGTGAGTGTAGCAACTCTGTCTTCTGGACCCTCTCAGCCCCGTGCTGTCTCCTGGGGAGTGCCCACCATAGAGCCTGGTGGCCTATCTGAGCTACTGAATCACCGATCTAGTTGGATTAAGTTTGGTAGGTGGTACATTCAGGTACCAGACTCCACCCAGGCAGGAGACTGCACACTGAAGGCCCACCTGTTCTCCAGGATAGCTACTATGTCCCCTGACTGCCCTTTAGGGGTCTTCACTTTCTTTTTTTTTAAAACCCGGCTCCCGGGGGTTTATTTATTTATTTTTGACCTCACACTCCTACAGTCTTTTTTTTTTTTTTTTTTGTAAGAGAGAGAAAGAGAGAATCTTAATATTTATTTATTTTTTAGTTTTTGGCAGACACAACATCTTTGTTTGTATGTGGTGCTGAGGATCGAACCCAGGCCGCATGCATGCCAGGCGCGCGCGCTACCGCTTGAGCCACATCCCCAGCCCAAGGGGTCTTCACTTTCCACGGGAATCGGTGGAGAGGGGAACAAGCCCACATTGCGTCGTTTGCCTGCCATTCCTGTGCATGCTCACAGTCATCCCCTGAGTCCTGCGGGTCTGTGGGGACATGTGGCCCTCCTGCAGCATCACCCCGAGCCAGCTATGGCTGCAGATACTGCTTGCAGCCACATGCTCTTGTGACTCCAGGCAGATTCCCTTAGACTCTTCCTGAGCCTCCGTGAAGAGTGGCGCTGCCTCTGTGGCCTGTCACCCCCTCACCCTGCTGTGTGGCACCCCCTTATCCTCACTGCTCCCAGGAATGGGTCTGCCTCCTGCTGCTGCTCGGGGGCTTGTGGAGTTCTTGAGAACTGTGCTGCCCAAAGGCTCAGGGTGGCTCCCTGGGGTCTTCTGGAGGGAGCTAGAGGCTTGAAGTTCCCATGGATGTGACCCCCTCTCCAGATTACCCTCCACAGGATCCTGGATAGAGTTGGCCTCAATGGCGGGAGGTGGAAGGGTGGGCAGCCCTGGGTCCTGTGTTCCTGGTGAGCCCACCCTTCAGTCCCTGCCTGAGAGCTCAGGAGGTGTGAAGTGCTGGGCTGAACCCAGGAGGTCAGTTCGTTGGGGGTCTTTGCTCTGACCTCTGAAGGGCTTTGAGAAGAGTGGTCTTCTGAGAGCTGCCAGGCCCACCCTCACTCCTGCCCAGTAAGCCATTTGGGGGTCCTGCAGCTCAGGCAGGGAGTGGGGTCAGGCGGGGCCTGTTGCCCTGGTTTCTGGGAGTCCCCCTGGCGTAGCTGCCTCTGGTGCAGGGCTTAGGCACTCCATCAGGCTGAGGCAGAGCTCAGGCCTGGGGGCATCTTGCATTGGCCTGAGGCTAGACCTGCTTTCTGAGACAGGAGGATAGACTCTGGGCCCAGGGTTGTCCAGGGCCTGCGCCCTGTGTCCTGGGGCAGAGTCCGTTGGGCTCAGGAGCTGCGGTATCTGCTCCTTGCAGGTTGGAGGCCTGGGCCGGGGGCCACAGTGGAGTTCTGTGCGCAAGGCCTCTCAGGAGGCTGTGGACCAAGAGCTGGCAGCCCTGCAGAGGTCCTGGGAGCAAGACAGGGGCCCCACCCCACCCCAAGGGCCCCACCGGCTGGTGAGAAGGGAGGAGAGTGCTGCAAGGACCCAGGGCCTGCAGGCCGCCGGGCTGGCCAAGCTGCTGAGGCGCCAGGAGGCCTGTCTGCAGGCCACGTTGCACCGCCTACAGGGACAGTGCCAGCAGGAGCTGGCCAGGCTGGCAGGAGCCCTGCCTGGTCTCATTTGGATCCCGCCACCCCGACGCTGACGGCCTGTGGACATGCCCTCCCCCTGTGGGAACCTGCCCTGGCCCAGACTAGAGCTGGTAGCCATGTGCCACTGCAGATGCAGAGGTTGGGCCGCGTACTGAATGACCAGGATCCAGACCCTTGGCCTGTAGTACTGGGGCAAAGGGACCCAGAAATAAACAGTGGAGGCCTGTAGGGAGCAGGCCACTGGCCATCTTTTGCTGCCCTTCTAGGTTCTGTCTGAGGGTGGACGGAGGGGGCATCTTGGGTCAGGCGAGATACCCCTAGGTGGTGGTGGACTAGCTGGAGCCAGTGCAGGGCTGGCCAGGGCTGGGAGACACCTGGCCTGCACACCCGGTGAGTGTGGGGACCTGGGGAAGGTGGCTGTGCCACCTCCCCAGGTCCCCATGGCATGCCCAGCTCTAGGCTGTGGGCACAGCCTCCCTCCTGTGCTAGGCCTCCTGTGGGTGGGGGCCGGATGGGAGCTCTGGGGGCTCTGCTTTCCTGGGGGTGGTGGCCAGGGAGTGAGGGGGAGGCCACAGTGTGGACAGAGGGGCCTTGTTCCTGAGGCTGCTCAGGGAATTCAGCTCTGACAAAGGGCTGCTTGTATGTGCGACGTGCCCACAGCCTGGTGGAGCAACTTCCATCCCAGCGTTCCCCCAGCCAACAGGCACAGGTGGGCCCTGTGGCCTCTGGCCCTGCCTCCCGCCTCCTAGGGTCCACACCGTGACCTGGCACTGGGCGGGTGATAGGGTCAGTTGGCTGTGTGCAGCCTCCTGCCAGCCTAGGCCCAAGCCTAATTCAGCCTCTGGGAACCTGGTTTTCTGCCAGAATGTTCCTTTAAATAGGACTTTTCCTGCCTGGTTGGTATGTGCTGGAGCAATAGCCTACACCCGGGCTCTGACTCTGCCCGGGGCTCCTTGGCCTCTGGGGCTGTACACCCCGCTACTCCTCTTGGCCAGCCATTGCTAGCATGCCATCTTCAGGAATACTAGCTGGACGGGGTGGTGTCCAGCAGGTTGTGCCTGACTCTTGTGGACATGGCCCTGAAGAGTCACAGGGGCCCCTGATGTGCCACAGGTGTGTGTTCTTGCTCCCTGGCCCCCTATCCCACCTGAGGCCCCTCCCCCAGCCCTTCTTGCTCCTCCTCTGGCTTCTTCTGCCCCAGGGCACTTGGAGTCCAGTCTCCTGGAGTCGCTTCCGGCCCTGCAGCTATCTGCTGTTGTGCCCTGGGCCTGCATGTAACAGCCACATGCAGCGAGGCCACTTCTGCTTCCTGCATCTGGAGGAGGTCCTAACCCAGGACTCCCACTGGCCCTCCACAGCTTGAGTTTTGAAGCCCAAAGGTAGATGTGACGCCAGGCACCCCCTCGCCTCCTTTGCTCTGCAGGTCCAAAGAGTCCAGTTAGGACCGCGGGCGTGTGTGTATGTGTGTGCACGTGTGTGTATGTGTGCGCATGTGTGTGTGTGTGCGCGCATCATGTGGTATGCCTGTGCACATGACCATGGTGACCGTGGTAGCTCAGACCCTGGTGCTTCTAAGGAAGGGGCCTGCAGGGGGCCTGCCTGAGGGCCCAGGTGTACTCAGTGTGGTGATTGGTCACTGGGGAGGCCTCTGGTGTTGGGTGCTAGCTCTTTCACACGGTGGCTAGAAACAGCCCTGCCGTGTGACTTGCCTGCTCTTCATTCTGAGCTCCCACACAGGGTTAAAATCAAGTGCTGGTGGGCCATGACTTCCTCAGGGGCCTCTGGAGGACCTGGGGGAGAATCCCTTCCAGATTCACAGGAGTGTTGACCTAGGCTGCTCTGGGATCCCCGCCCATGGCCCAGCATCTTGGAGCAGGCCCTGAAGGCCATCAGACACTCCTGTCCTCTCTGACTTTGAGGAGCTGGTATGAACTTGCCCCTGCCCTCGCTTCTCTAGATAACCTTCCTGTCGTACCCAGGGGACAACCAGGACCTGTAGGCACGCTTGGTCTAGTATGTTGTGTGACTGGGAGCCCGTCTGAGGACATGCATTCTGAACCCCAGGTTCCCATGAAGAGGCAGGTATGTTCTTACAGGAAGCAGCAAGAGGGCAGCAGGGCAGCTTCCCGACACCTGCCTGTGTGGGAAAGCATGATCACTTTGACTCCATCAAACGGAACTCCCAGGCGCAGTGGAGCACACGCAATCCCATCAACTCTGGAGGCTGAGGCAGGAGGATTGCAAGTTTGAGGATAGCCTAGGCAACTTAGAGACCCCACCTCAAAAAACAGAACTGGGGGGACTGGGGATGTGGCTCAAGCGGTAGCACGCTCGCCTGGCATGCGTGCGGCCCGGGTTCAATCCTCAGCACCACATACCAACAAAGATGTTGTGTCCGCCGAGAACTTAAAAATAAATATTAAAAATTCTCTCTCTCTCTCTCTCTCTCTCTCTCTCTCTCTCTCTCTCTCTCTCTCTCTCTCTCTCTCTCTCTAAAAAAAAAACAGGACTGGGGGTGCTTAGGCTGTAGCTTAGTGGTAAAGCGCTTGCCTCGTATGTGTGAGGCACTGAGTTTGATCCTCAGCACCACATAAAAGTAAATGAAGATATTGTGTGTTCATCTACAACTAAAAAATATACATAAAAATATTTAAAAAAAAAAAGGACTGGGGGCTAGGGCTGTGGCTCAGTGGTAGAGCGCTTGCCTAACATTGAAGCACTGGGATTGATCCTTAGCATCACATAAAAATAAATAAAGGCGTTCTGTCCATCTACATCTAACTAAATATATAAATAGATACATTAAAAACATCACTGGAAGTGTAGGTCAGTGGTAGAGTGCTCCCCAGCTCAGTCCCTAGTACCCTGAGAAATAAAATCCTGGAAACTTCTGTTTACTAGAAGACGACATAACCCAGGGTGTAGCTGAGTGGTAGAGCGATTGCCTAGCATGTGTGAGGCACTGGGTTCCATGCCTAGCGCCTCAAAAAAAAAAAAAAAAAAAAAAAAAGATAAAGAGCCAGAGTGGAGAATTTGCTTGCGATGTTTATGGCAGATAATTAGTGTCAGGACAATACGTGGGACCATCAAGGGTGAAGAAGGTAAATGTGCTAGATGGGGTGGGTGCTGTAGAGCAGGGCCTAGGAGAGGCCAAGTTGGTGGCAGTGTCCACCTTCACCAGCAGTAGAAGGGGCTGAGCATGGTCCTGGGCTGGTGAGGATTGGCACTGTGGTGGGGAGTGGAAGGACCTCAGCCTGCAGG